AAGAGAAATATTGTAAGAAAGAAATGTGATATTTTTCTTTAAACAATTCGTTAAACTCCAATCAAGATTAATTGTATTTTTTTTTTGAAGAATTTCTCTCACGTGTGTTTCATCTGGTAATCTGTAGATGAATGCTTTTTTACTTACAAATTCAATTCTCTTTTGTACTTATATTTGTTACTTTTCCTGTGTATGACAAAATAACAGATCTATATTTCAGTTGACAAAGTATCAACGTTCATAAATTAACATAAATGATATTTTTATTAATGTTAGAAAACAGATAGAGCAATACAAATATTTTTTATTTCAAAGGGCATCTATCGAAACGTCGGCGAATGATATGAATAAAACATGGACTGCACATGTCGTTTTTGACTCATTTATCATAATATAAAAAACTTGGACAACAATATTCATCTGTTTCAACTAATGATGTCACGTAGGAAAAACAACTTGCACAACATAACAAGAAAGTACAGACAGCGTACAATTACGTATGTATATATACACTGATTTTATATCTCTGAATTTACTTTTACATTGGTAAAAATAAATCTAATGGCTTCATCTCTTCGAATTGAACAAGTAGATCGACCTGTACTAGCTCAACATGATTCTGCAATTCTTGGTAAATTTTTCTCAGTAGATGATACTGATTATTTTATTAAAATATATCTATCATTTAGATCTAGTCTTTGTTATGGATTGTACAGGTTCCATGGGACCATATATTGACAGTGCAAAAAATAATATTCATGCAATTATCGAAGAAATAGTGGCAAATGAAACGAGTAATATTCGTTTAGCATTGATTGCATATCGAGATCATCCACCTCAAGTTTGTAGAATATTCTGATGAGAAATGAAAGTCACTTTGTACTAACAATGAATTTTTATTTAGGACACGTCTTTTGTGACATGTGTACATGATTTTACAACTCAAGTCAATGAAATGAAAAGTTGGTTAGATAATTTTCGAGCAGATGGTGGTGGTGATACACCTGAAGCTGTTGCTGATGCTCGTCATGATGTTCTCCATTTATCATGGCGTTCAGATGCAACTAAAATTTGTGTTTTGATCTCCGATGCACCACCACATGGATTACATCAGGAAAATGATTCTTTTCCCAATGGATGTCCAGCTGGTCACGATCCAGCAAGACTCGTTCGAAATATGGCAGAACAACATATTACATTGTATGTTGTTGGTGTCGAACCACCAATTGGTAAATTAAAGATATTTTCATATCAGAGGCCTGAAATCTATTTTTGATTTTTCTTTAGTTCTTTATCGTGATTTTTTCATGGCATTAGCATATATAACTGGCGGACAATATGTGCCCATGATTAATGCAAAACTTTTAGCTAAAGTGATTATCGGTGGAGTACGTGAAGAAATATCGTTAGATCGTTTAATGCAAGATGCTCTTCCTGATATTGATCGTGAAATGCAACGAGCGAAAGAGGATGGTTTAGATGACAAAATCAAAGCTCAACGACTCAATGAGATTTTTTCTGCAAAAAATCTACGCTCAAAACGAATGAAGAACTCTCATGGTGCTCTATCATCGGCAGCAACGGACGGTTATGCAAAATGTCCTGATATGGCTGAAATGAGAATTCAGTTTCGAAAACAGTTGGAATCTACTCCAAATACGTTTGCTACAAGTACACTTACTACTCTAGCATCTGATATTAACTATGATTTAATGGAAGATGTCGATGTCAGTGAAGATCAAGCTGCACGCTTGGTTCAAAAATGGCAACAACGAAATAAAAAGACATACTATTAGTTTATTGTATATGAATCATAGATGTAAATAAAACAGAAACAGGATGAATAACTTTCAAAGATAATACCAGCAGCAACGATAGAAATTCAAACGAATCCACAATAAACCTTTCACAATGCAAAACATGATTAGATTAGATTTCTATTTACACTCTTTTTGAAGTATATGTGAAACGTACGATTTATTGCACAATTGCATGACAAGAAAATAATGCAATTATATTTCTTTCTGATGTCACTGAAATAGACTGTGGTGCAACTTGTTTTCATTTTCTTTCTATACGACAGAAAAAATAATGAGTGCAGTAAGAAATAAAAATTTCAGCTTTTCATTATTTCGCTAATACTTCAGTGATTATGCAACAATCATACTTTTCACAACTGAAAACAAAACACAAATTGATTGTTGAGTATTTTTTAGAAAATGAGTTTATACTGAATGCCAATTATTTAACGTGGTTTTCGTATTCCTTGAGGGTATGGATGTGAGTTAAATATAACACCCTCCCATACCACTTATTAATATTATTGCAATTAAATTAATGATTTCTTATTAAAAAAAAACTGATATTTAATTGAATTTCTTCATGTATCTTTACAACCAAATATGAATTCATTATATTATAATTCTTTGATATAAAATCAGTTATTATCTCTATGTATTTATAAAATATAAAAACTATATTCAAACTAACTTTTCTCGTGTTTTATAATGTGATTGATGATTCTACTCATTATTCTTAATATAATATAAAACCATCAATTAGTCGTACATAATCAAATATTTAATAACTCAATATTTATAATTGCAGTTTATTCGACGTACATCATCTAAATATAGTTTTCTTTTTTAATTTTAAACAGAAGACAAACAATTTTATCGACTTAAGTCTATCTGTTCGATTGAATATGTAATTCATATATGATATGTTCCAATATGCGGCAATGTTTATGAACAAATCCCAATTTCTTATGATTTTTCACTTTCTTTTATTGAAGTCAGGTTTTAAAAGTTCTTTAAAAACTAGTTGAGATCTAATTGAATTAATAGTATTAAAAATGATCTATGTAACTAAGACATTCATAAATTGAATGTTAGTTAAAAAGTGCTTTTATTTTAAAGAAACAAATATTAGTATTAGATATCGGTCTAGAGACTGAATAGAAATAAGGAAATCCTAAAAATTTCTTTTGTTTCGTATAATAAGGATATAATCTAATGAAATATTTTAACTTATTGTTCATATCAAATCGTTTAAGGTAATTTTCAATAATATTACTCAGAAATAAAAAAGAAGTCTTTTATTCGATTTCATAAGATAGCATGAAGAAGTTTTTCAATTTGAGATGTGAGTGAGTGAGTATTTTGTTTATTTTAGATACCTCGACCACATTGTACTACCTATTTTTTAGTGGAGAAAGAACTCTGTGTGTTACATGAAATTAGAAAGTTCAGTGGCGAAGTTTTCTGCTTTCGATATTGACTGCTGAATGGTAGAATATTTACTTTTAAAAATTTCCTAAATCGAAATTATTAGCAATTAGTCTTCAATTTTTTGATAGCATATCTATTCCAGTAGAAATCACAGAAAGAAGGTGTGTCTATATGCACTATAAGAGATACTCGACTTCAATCAAACATCAAATGTTTTATTTATAAATTAGAATTTAATTGAAAGATGAGAAAACTGATTTTTTTTGATTATCATCAGGTTTTTATATAGTCATGTAGAGTCAAATACAACAAGTTGATCAAAGAACTATCTTTTGATTAGAAAAAAAAGAAATTTGTTCGGAAAGGGTTAAAGAATGAAACTAATAATAGAATAGTTGAAAAAACTACACAATGTATAGAGAGAAACATGAATCATTACTTTTACAATAGAAAATCAGTAAAACAGAGATAAATATATCGAACAGCATAGATATGTTAAAAAAGAAAAAAATGAATTTATATACACGAATACTGTCTGTTAGCGTTTTCTTCTCGTCTTTATTATTAATATTTATCCATCAGAACGAGCGTACATGTGTGTATATATATGTAACAAACACACAAAAAAGAAATCTAGATGAAAGAAAAGAAATGACATTACATATAATTACGATCGAGGTACACACTCTAAGAACGTCCTTAGTCATTTTTATCTTATCCTGTATCTGGCAATATCGATCTTGTTTTTTCTCTCTATACTATCATTGAATTTAAAAGATTAAGATAAGATATGTATAAATTTTCTATTCCAACTTCAGAAATTAATGATATCAGATATATAATACTTAACAATATTTATTTGATTGAAATTTCTTTGTTTCATAATAAGTTTTTTTTATTGAATCATTTAATTCATTTTAGATAATCATTGACAAAAAAGAACGTTTACGATCCATTTTATTGGTTGATTATAAATTTTTAAACAGACTAGAAGTCCATCGAAAATTTCTTTATATATATATATGGATGTAAGTAAATTGTTGACAATGATTTTTATGTAAATTTTTCCCGAGCTTTTTCAAGGCTTTCGAAACATAATGTAAATTTTGAAATTTAACAAAAAAGTCGAAAGATCCGACATTTGCAAAGGATTGTTTATCTATGAAAATTTTTCATTTATCGATATTTCATTAAATATAGTTTATTCTAGAATGATAATAGTTTATCAAAATCAGCAAAAAAACAACAAGAAATTTTTAATAATTTATTAAGAAAACTTTATGACAAATCAATCGAAGGTTTAACTAAGACACGTCATGAAGTTAATGATCTTCAACGAAGACATGCATGGTATCATTCAAATCTTATTCAAATTCAATCACTAAAATCTAAAATAAGCAGTATTCAAGAAGAATATGATTCAAATATTACAAATATTTTAAATGAAATTACAAAACAAAAACAATATGCAAAAGAAATTCTTTTAAATGCACTTGATCAACTTGAATCAGCAGTAAATACGGAACAAATAAAAACATCTATTCATTCGTTGATTCATCATATTGATTTTTTAGTGGAAAATATAAGTAAACATGTTCATTTAATATCAATATTTTCGTCAATTGGTCTTGGTGGTATTATCGCTATGATTTTTGCTGCTTTTGCTGGATCATCTTTCATTAGTTTTGCCACATTGGGATTTGGAACTGTTGCTAGTGGTGTAGGAAGTGAAATACTTTTTAAAGAAAAATTAAAAGAATTAGATACAAAATTATTAAATGATATTGGAAAAGTGGAAAATCAGAAAAATCAACAAATAGAAAAACTTAATGAATATTTTCAAAATTTTGAAAGTAAATTATTATCTTGTAATAAAAATCAACAAACATCATTTATTAATATAATTTGGTATGATAAACAAATTAAAAATATTTTTAATCAAAATTGTATTCAGATATTAAGAAATGAATTTTCAAAAGAAAACTATTGCATAACAGAATCTGATAATGAAAATCAATTAATTAAATTAATTACATCTAATGTTGAAAATAATCTTATTTTAATAACATCAGGTTCATCGGGACAAGAAATTCTTTCTCAAATAGGATATTATTTTCATATAAAAGGTATTATTATTTATTGTAAAGCAGTTCAATATCATAAAACATGGGCAAAACAATGTAAAAAAGTTTTACTTGTTACGAAATCATTTGATGAAGTTATTCAAAAAATAAAACATAGAAAATGGAGAAATTTATTTTCTAAATTATGGATTTTCATTTGAAGATATAACATTAAAATTACAGTCATATAATTATTATTTATCGACAAAACAAAATGGATTTATTATTCAAAAATTTTCTGATATTCGTTCAGATATTAATTATCATAAAGATATTATGATACAATTAAATACATTATTAAAAGCAAAAAATATATATCCAAATGGTATTCCTTATCATTTTCAATTGGATAATTTATTAAAATGTGCTGAGAAATTTGTTGATGCTTTAAAAACTTCATCACCAGAAGAAACTATAATACGTCTATATACAAGTTCAACACCTTCATATTATAAAGTAGTAAATGATATTCTCAATTTATTAGATGAAGAATTAATAAAATTAATTGGAGATTATATAAAAGCATTAAGATATTCATTAATTAAATATTCAGATAAATCAAAACGAATTCCAGAGAATAAAAATATCAAGTTATATCGAGGTTTATGTTTAAAAGATGAAAATAATTTTCAAGAATTTAAAAGAAAATTTCAAGTCAATGATATTATTATTTTTCCAGCATTTTCATCAACAAGTTTAAATAAGAATTGTGCAGAAATCTTTGCTGGTGAGAAAGGTGTTCTTTTAAATATTACTGCAGATTGTACACAAATAAATAAGCCAAAAAGTATTTATGAATTATCATCTTTCAAAAGCGAAGATGAAGTCCTATTAAATTGCTTTAATATGTTGACCGTCAATAAAATTACAAATATCAATGACAGTTTTATGTCTTATGAATGCACCTTACAACTACTATGATTATAATAAATATTTATCTTTATTATAACTATTATTATTTAATTTCGTATTT